TTAATACCAATTAATGAAGTTGTCATGATTTTTATTTAATTTTTAAAAAATTGTATTAAAAAAAAAAACAAAAAAAATAAATCTTAATTTATAAAAAAATTAAAAATTGATGATTCTCAATTTCTCTTAAAGAATCGTTATTTTTGATGAGTTCCCATAGTGAGTCTGCCAAAATAACAATTTTTCTTAAAGAATCGTCAAATTTGGCGGGTTCTCATAATGTATTCGCCAAAATAACAATTTTCTTTTAGTTACTTTTAACCGGTTCCCATAGTGGGTCCGCCAAAATAATGATTTCTCTTAAAAAATCATCAAATTTGGCGAGTTCCTATAGAGAATTCGCCAAAATAATGATTTTCTCTTAGAGAATCGTCATATTGGCGGGTTCCCATAGAGAGTTCACCAAAATAACGATTTCTCTTAAAAAATTGTTATTTTTGACGGGTTCTCATAGTGGGTTCGCCAAAATAATGATTTCTCTTAGAGAATTGTTATTTTTAGCAGGTTCCCATAGTGAGTCCGCCAAAATAATGAATTCTCTTAGAGAATCTTTATTTTTAACCGATTCCTATAGCGGGTCTGCTAAAATAATGATTTCTCTTAGAGAATCATCAAATTTGGCGAGTTTCCATAGAGAATTCGCCAAAATAATGATTTTCTCTTAGAGAATCATCATATTTGGCGGGTTCCCATAGAGAGTTCGCCAAAATAACAAATTCTTTTAGAGAATCGTTATTTTTGACGGGTTCCCATAGTAGGTCTGCTAAAATAATGAATTTTCTATTAGAGAATCATTATTTTTAACCAGTTCCCATAGCGGGTCTGCCAAAATAATGATTTCTCTTAGAGAATCGTCATATTTGGCAGGTTCCTATAGAGAGTTCGCCAAAATAACGAATTCTCTTAGAGAATCATTATTTTTAATGGGTTTCCATAGTGGGTCTGCAAAATAACGAATTCTCTCTTAGAGAATCATTATTTTTAACCAGTTCCCATAGCGGGTCCGCCAAAATAACGATTTCTTTTAGAGAATCGTCAAATTTAGCGAGTTCCCATAGAGAATTCGCTAAAATAATAATTTTCTCTTAGAGAATCGTCATATTTGGCGGGTTCCCGTAAAGAGTTCACCAAAATAATGAATTCTCTTAGAGAATCATTATTTTTGACGGGTTCCCATAGTGGGTCTGCCAAAATAATGAATTCTCTTAGAGAATCATTATTTTTAGTGGGCTCCCATAATTGTTTTGCCAAAATAATGAATTCTCTTAGAGAATCGTTATTTTTTAATGGTTTCCTATAGTGGGCCTGCTAAAATAACGAATTCTCTTAGAGAATCGTTATCTTTAGCAGTCTCCTATAGTGGGTCCGCCAAATAATGAATTCTCTTAGAGAATTGTTATTTTTTAACAGTTTCCTATAGTGGGCCTGCTAAAATAATGAATTCTCTTAGGGAATCGTTATCTTTAGCGGTCTCTCATAGTGGTTCTGCCAAAATAATGAATTCTTTTAGAGAATCTGTTATTTTTAACAGTTTCCTATAGTGGGCCTGCTAAAATAATGAATTCTCTTAGGGAATCGTTATCTTTAGCGGTCTCCCATAGTGGTTCTGCCAAAATAATGAATTCTCTTAGAGAATCTGTTATTTTTAACAGGTTCCCATAGTGGGTCTGCCAAAATAACAATTTCTCTTAGAGAGTTGTTATTTTTTCATGGGTTCCCTTAGAAAATTCTGAAGGTAAGTTGTCATCGATGGTGGGTAAGTGGATTTTTTCATTTCTTTATTTTTTAATTTTAATTTTTTTCTTTTTCTTTCTTGTAGTTATTCTTCGGGTTTCTTTTTTTCTCTGGATTCTAAGGTACTTTTGATTTCGATGGGAAGGAGCTTTTTAATTAATTTTTTTTTTTTTAGAATCAATCTTTCTCTTGTATCATTTGGGTTTGGATTTTTATTATAAAATTTCTTTTTTATTTCTTTAGGATCGAATTTTCTCTTTGGATCCTAAGTAAAGATGGCTCCACAACTTATAAGTTGTGGATTAAGTTTCGGATTTTAGGTTGCAACTATTATGAATTTTAAAAAAATAATTCCGCAATATCCGCAAATTCACAA